GGAAACTCCCACTGGGAAAGGAGGGACGGTTTAATGTGAGAAGAAGCTCTCTCTACCATCCCCACGGGTCGCCGTCACCATTTGTACAGCAAGACAGCACACGATAAGGGGCATCATGGTACCAGTGACAATTGACCACGGGGATGTCATATGTTTTAAGATGAAAATACAAACCCTAGTGGCAAAAGGAAAATTATTTTCTCTTTCACCCAACACTTGGGAGAGGTTAATATCTTTCCTAGGTTTCCAGATGGTATTCCTCCAGATTCTTTGTTTAAACCAATGGAAGCCCAGTCTAGCTGGCTTTCAGCAGAGAGATAATTTAATGAAGGCCACACACACACACACACACAGCATTTCCTGGACCGCCACTAAGTCAGGTTTGGAGGTGTCTACAAATCATGCCCTGACAGATGTGCCTTGGTGGAGACGTCCCAGCCACCAACACTCCAGCGTGGGCCTCAAACACGGGAACTGCTGCTGGGATGCTGCTCCCGCTGCCTCTACAGGCTGACTGGATTGGCCAGAACAGCCTCTTCCAGGTCCTTCTGCTCAGCCTGATGTGCCTAAGGTCACACAGGACAGCCCTCACTGAAATATGAGCTTGAAAAGCAAGTTCCCGGCTCCTCCAAAGGGGAAGTGTAGATGCACAAAGGTGGGAATTCTCACACACAGGACGGGTTCGGATTTACAGCACCCAGATGAAATAACCATGTGCCCCACAGTGTGGACCCTGCATTCCCCGGAGCGCTGCTTCTCAACTCATGATGTAATAGAGATTTAAATTTATGACAGACGTCTAGATTAAAAACCTCAAAAACTAACAGAATCTAAGCTAATGGGAGATAGCCAAGAATTCTTCTAATGATGTACGTCTTCTTTACTCATTACAATTTGCTAATATTTGGGTTGAGCAGTATGACAGCACTAATGTGAAAAATGTTTATCCACAACCTGGTTGTAACTTTGTGAGGTTAGCTCTGAACAAAACCAAGAATGATTTTCCAATAAGGGAAATGAATTTAAATGGCATCTGAGAAACTAAACAAAGTGGGACAATTTATCTTTGTTTCTGACTGACTCAAAATATTTATTTAGAAAATATTATTCAATGACACACGGCATTCCTACAGTGACTTTAATAAAGACTCAAGCCTATCCAACATCCACTTTAAAAGCACCCGATTCTGCTCTCCAAAAAGATCCCTCTTGCTGTTTGCAGTAATGATTCCCACCTCAGGAAATCACTAATCTGCTTTCTGTCTCTATAGACTTACCTTTTCTGAACATTTCATTTAGATGTAATCATATAATATGTGGCTTTCTAAAGTCTGGCTTCTTTCACTCAATATAATGTTTTCAGGATTCCACCACATTGTAATATGTATCCTTTACTCCTTTATATTGCTAAACAGTAGTCCATGGCATAGATATATCTTTTTGTTTATCCATTCACCAGCTGACATATTTGGATTGTTTCCATTTTTTTACTATTATAAGCACAGCTGCTGAGAAAATAAAACATTTTTGTGAAGACACACACACACACACACTAAAAATACCTGTTTCTGCTTTCAGCTAGTTCTTTTTGAACCTTTCCTCCTTGCTTAGTTCTACGTAATGCTTTATATATTAACCTTGTAAGGTCCATCTGTTCATATTTTTTAAAAATATTTTTTAATTTATTTCAGATAGGAATAGAGAGGGACAGATAGAAACATCAATGATGAGAGGGAATCATGATTGGCTGCCTCCTGTACGCCCCCTAGTGGAGATCGAGCCCACAACACAGGCAAGTGCGCTTGACCCAGAACCTTTCACTCCATAGGCCAACACTCTATCCATTGAGCCAAACCAGCTAGGGCCATCTGTACATATTTATTCACATATGTTTGGATGTGCTGGATTCTAATTTTTTTTTAAAAAACAAAAAAAAAACCCTATATTTAGAATGAAGACTATTTATAAATAAATATACAAAAACAAATAAATAAAACATTTAAAGTACAACTATTTACTATAAATATACAAAAACAAATAAGTAAAACTTTTACAGCACAAAAAATAATTTGGGCTCTGTGGAACAAGATAAATTATAAGTTGACTTTCTACTTTTTTTCCAATTGAAAACTGCCAGATATTTATCTGTCCCATTGATGTTTCCAATCCAAACAGTGTTTCTCTAAAGCTAATAACATCTTAGCAATATAATATCCTTCCACAGAACAATGGATCAAAACATCAGGATCATTCCTTAAAAATTCCCATCACGTTCTTCATACTATTTTTTTCTTGAAGGTTCAATTCCAAGCTAAACTAATCTTTCCTTTGAGAGTAAAGCCAAATCATAGTTTATGATTATATATGTTATGTGCTATCATTGGCCCTGTTTGCCTTTTATAGCTCTCATAAGATTACATTTTCTTGGTTGTTGTTTTTTCCCCTCTCAATTTCATAGTTTTGGGATACTGATCCACTCTGTAAAATACAATTCTACTCTCCAATATAAACTGAGAACTCAGAAAATTCTGTCAGGCTAGGCCTCCTATTTTATAAAAAGAAAAAGAAAAAACAAAAAGAAAAGGTGGTGGTGGTGAGAAACAAATAAATCAGACCTACAACTATTTAAGTGAAAAAATATTACTTATATCTTATATCTATTAAGAGTCAGATTTCCTAGTACTAAGACTTTCTCAACCTAATAAAGATAACACTGTGTCTAATGATATGAGGATCAGCAAAAAACCATATTGTTAGTAAATGGTTGAAGTAAAATAAACAAAAAGAAGGGAGGGACGAAGGAAGAGAACTCATGGAATTGGAAGAAAATATTTACAAATCATCTATCTGATGAGGGACTTATAATCAGAATGTATAAGCAGCTTTTTCAACTCACCAATAAAAAGATAATCTAATTAGAAAATGGGCAAAGAATCTGAATATCTCAAAAAAAGATATACAAATGGTCAATAACCACATGAAAAAAAGTTCAACAGCACTAGTCAGGAGGACAGCTCAAAGCAAAACCACAATGAGATACTACTTAAATAGAACAACTATATTTTTAACATAGAAAATAACCAGTATTGGTGAACACGTGGAGAAACAGGAACCTTTTAGACTGCTGGTGAGACGGTAAAATGGTGGAGTCGCTCTGGGAAACAGTTTGGCAGCACCTCAGAAACGCAGTTACCACATAACTCAGCAATTCCACTTCTAGGTATTATAGTTGCCCAAGTGAGATGAAAATATATGTCCACAAAATCTTGTACACAAATGTTATTAATAGCATTATCCACAATAGCCAAAAAATGGAAACAACCTAAATGCCCATCAACTGATAAAGAAAACATGGTATCATCCACACAATGAAATACTATTTGGCAATAAAAAGAAAATAAATGCTGACATTCGCTACAACATTGATTAATCTTTTTAAAAATTAAGTGCATATAAGCATAACCAATGGACACAGACACCAGGGAGGTTAGGGTATGAGCAGAGGGGGGAGGGGGCAATGGAGGGATAAGGACACATAGGTGATACCTAAATAAATAAATAAATAAATAAATAAATAAATAAATAAATAAATAAAGGAAAAAATTATGCTAAGTGCAAGAAGGCCATCTCAAGAGATTACATAATGATTCCATTTATATGAAATGTGCAAAATAGGCAAATCCACAGAGACAGAAAAGTTAGTGGTTGACAGTAGCGTGGAGGAAGGAAATATTGTCTGCTAGTGGGTATGGGATTAGCTAGCGGTGATGGGTGCACACATCTGGAGTATATCAAAAACCACTGAATTGTATACATCAAAAGAGTGAATTTTATAGTATATAAACTATAGCTCAAGAAAGCTATTATTTTAAAATGAAGGAAAAATAAACAAAAGCAAAATTTTGAATCAAGATACAAATATTTTCAATGGTATATTTTATTATACCATGACTGTGTTAAAAAAAAAAAAAATCATACATCAAAGGTTTCCTTTGGGATTCTTAAAGTTGACACTCACTTTGGGAAAGCTTTTTGTAAAGCAACTTAATTCTAGGAAGTTATAGGTTAAAGGCACAGGTACCTCAGGCTGCTAGGAAGCTTTTCATAAAGTACATGACTTTCTTGAAAGGGACTAAAATGAAACCAAAATGTGCCACGAATTTCTGCTCCCTCTAGCCTTTGCATATCTGTTCATCCTTCTCCATGTTTCTAACTCTGGTCCATTAGATTTGAAGCATGAACCTCATAGCATGATATCCAAACCCCCTTCATATAATAATAACCCAGATTAAGTAGGTACTGAATATTAAAATTACAAAAAGAGATGTTCGAATTACAGATAATTATTTCCCTCTCCTCTCAATCCATTCCTGTTAGACACCAAGTATTACAGAAATGCAAGCTATCTGATTCTTTTAAATTTTGAGAGGAGAGGTCAAATACTTGAGAAATGCTTGGTGTTTTTTTTTTGTTTTTTTTTTTTAAACTTGTTTTAAACTGCCACATCAACTAAAATAAATAGAAATGCACCATTTGGTGCAGACAAATAAATAATAATGGTAAAGCATTAGGTCTATTGTCATTATATGCCTAACCCAACATCATTTTGTCTTCAAACAGCAACCAAATACCTTGGTATAATAGGACAGCATACATTTTTTTTTTTTAAATAACTACATAAAAATTCAACTTAATATCAGATACAAACCTTAAATCTAGCCATGTGTTTTCAACAGCATAATCCTATGGCTGTCCTCTCAGTCCTGAGGTACATCAACTGGATGGATGGCCTTAATTCAGAATTTCCTTTATAGCCTTAATTCAGAATTTCCTTTATAGCATCACCTAGTTATAACACATATTTCACTACTTCTATCTTTCTGAGAATATGAAAGGCCCGAATTCTACCCAACGGGGGCCTCTGGCTTTAGAAGTGCTGACGGCGCAGAATTCTCTGATGTACGTGGATGAGGGACTCACGGTCACCTCACATGCCATACCTGGTATGCACTGTGCCATGGCCTCGGTGGTTATGGTTGGAGCGACGTGGGGCTGCTGCTGACTGGAGCTCACTTCCGGCTCTGTGTTAACCGAAGGAGAAAGGGCTACCTCGCAGGAGGAGACCTGGCTGGGCAGGTGGGGCAGGAACTCTTCGGAAGCCACTTGCTCCTCCTGTCCAGGCAGCTGCAGGGCAGACAGAGGGATGCTGATCTGTTTGTTAGGATGGGATGTGCTCACAGGCGTCTGCATGGCCACTTGCTGGCTGGTGCCATGGGTACCAGAGGGTCCTCTGTTTGGTGAAGCCAGAGATGCCCTGGTGGTCTTCTGGACGATTGGCCTGGACATCACGGAGGGGGATGCGGACACACAGTGTGTGTCTAGCTCTGTGCTGATGGCAGAGGATACATGGGGGATTAGCTTAGCAGACCCTACGCAAGAGGGGCCGGCATGAGTCTGAGGCTTGGGTTTTGCCATCTGTGTCAACGATAGGGTTGGTCCATCGACTCCGCCAGTCAGCTCTGCATTGGCCACAATGTAATAATCTTCAGGAATCTCTTGTTTGATCTTCTTGACGATGACATCACTGCTGCACTCATCAACCATGTGAGCCTGGGAGCTTGAGTGGAGAGAAGACAGGAGTATTCCAGGCCTTTTCCGAGCAATGCTCTGAGGCCTTTGGGGTTGGGGTTCAAAGTCACTATCCTCATCGGTAACGGAAGACTCACACACCATGTCAAACAGGGTGTTTTCATCTTCGTATTCTTCGACAGCTTCATCCAGTTCAGAGGGCTCACTGCAATAAGAGAAGTCACAAGAGTCTCTGGTCCGATTACAGTCAAGCTTTGCTTTCACTGGTCTCCCAGGGTACCTTTCAACTGGGCTGGTTTGTGTCTCAGAGGGCACTCCAATTATACTGGGGCTATCCGAGTTAAAACTTCTGTTATCCTGGAAACAGACCCTCTCCTGGGAGCCAGCTCTGCAAGTCGCTGTCAGTGGCCAGTGATAAGCATGGCCAGCACTGCAGCCCCACATTGCTGTCAGGTTCCCATGAGAACCTTCAGAGAGCAAGTGCTTCAGGTTAGGGATGAGGCTGCAAATAGTCCCATGGCTGTGGGCCCAGCTGACCAATTTGGACAGATTCTCAGAAGAGGTATGAAGGCAATCCTCCATGTTACAGGATCAGCAGTGTCTTTCCTAAAGGGAAATAATCAAAACAAGAAGCCATTATTACCCAAGATATTTCCATAGGCCAATTACTTCAATTTCCTTGAACTGTGGTCATCATGTAGCATAAAAAAGAAATGTACTTCAGAACGGTGTCTAGTTAGCCCTGGCTGATGTGGTTCAGCTGGTTGGAGCATCGTCCTGTACACCAAAAGGTGTCAAGGCACATGCACAGGTTTCAGGTGGACAATTCTATAATTCATTGTCCGTTCACTGTATTGTGTGTTCACCACCCAAAGTCAAGTGTCCTTCAGTTACCATTTATCTCCTCTTCCCCCTCTTTACCTCCCCTCACCCTTTTCCCTCTGGTAATCACCAGATATTTGTCTGTCTATGAGTTGTTATTTTGCTTAGTCGATTCACTTTTTTCACACAGCCTTCCAACACCCCTCCCCTCTAACAGCTGTCAGTCTATATTCTCTGTATCTATGAGTCTGTTTCTATTTTGTTTGTTTAGCTTACTTTGTTCATTAGATTAGGTATATAAGTGAAATCACATGGTATTTGTCTCTCTCTGGTTTATTTCACTTAAAATAGTACTTTCCAGGTCCATCCATGCTATCATAAAAGACAAGATTTCCTTCTTTTTTACAGCCAAATAGTATTCTATTGTATAAATGTACCACAGCTTTTTTATCCACTCATCTACTGATAGAAGAAAAGACCCAGATCCCTCCAAGGCCTGGAAAGCCCAATTCCAACTTTTCCCTTCTGTATCTAAACTAAAAGCTATTAATAAATATCACAGAGCAGCCTTTTTAGTTATATTCATATTTAGCTATTTTGTATTTTACTGCTAAAACTTCCTTTTTAATCAATATATTTGTCTTAAAGCAGAGATGTGCTGCCTAATACTACAATTGATAATCCTTTCATCGAGTAAGTCTTTAAAGAAATGAGTGTGTGTGTCCACAAAAAGCACAAAAATATAAATAGAAGTCTTATTCCTAATAGCCCCAAACTGGAACCAACCCAAAATCAGAAGAATGGATTAAGAATCTGCTGTATAGTCATACCATGGACAGCAATAAAAAAGAATATACTAATGATACATACAACGATAATGAATAAACTTCTGAAATATTATGCTCAGTGAAAGAAGCCAGGCACATCAGAATATTTATTGTGCATTCCATGTATATGAATTTCAAGCCCAGGCAAAACAATCTATAGTGATACTAGTCAGAATAGTGGTTTTCCTTAGAGGATTAAGGAGCACAAGGGTGATGAAATTGATTTACATTTTAGTTGGTGTTTATGTGGCATATACATATATAAGAATTTATCAATCTTTATCTATAAAGATTTGTGCATTTTACTGCATGTAAATTATATATTAAAAAAAAAAACACACTCAAATTATAGAGGCAGTACAGTGGAGTCTGGTTTCCAAATGCAGGTGGTCCAACCCCAGAAATCACTCATTTACCTCACTGTACAGTCTCAAGAATGTAAACCCAAGGGAGATGAACAGGAGCTTGAAATAACAATGTCTGGCTGAATCCACTGCCTGACATGTCAGTCTCATTTACTGGAGTATTTCGCTCCTTGGATGTCATGCAGTGCCATCATGTCTAACAGGTACTATCATTTCCTAAGTGTCATTAATCGATCCTCTCTGAGTATTCAGAAAGCCCAGCAGTTTCAACATCCTCTCTTTCTAGTCTTGGTTTTCCCAGAACAGATGCTGTAATAATGGTTCATCTCATGTCGAGAGAGTGGACTTCAAATTAATCTGCCAAAATTTATTCACTAGGAGACAATTTGTTAATAGATCAATTCACTGATTATGCCAAGTTTATACTTTTTCATGTACTGAAGATTTCTATAAAATTTTAGTATTTGCTTCATAGCAGCATTTTAAGAACTATTTAATTTGTAAGAAGCAAAGATTTGTAGAATGGTTTAAATTTTCTTATGAATATATTCAATAAATGTGAATATATTCTTTATGATGATTATATTCATGAATATATCCTCCTTATGAATATATTCATGAATATATTCTTCTCTGCCCTACAGGGAAAACATTTTAATGCAGTTTTAAATTAATGAATATCAATATATTCATGAACATTTTCATAAGTTTATATTCATATTCATGAGCTATGTTCTTCACATTGGGTCATTTTTGAACCCGGTTTAAAATTTAATGAATATCAACATATTCATTAAGACTATATTCATATTTTCAACAGCAGATATTCATATTCATGCCCTGTACTATTGATCATATTTTGAGCTCAATTTACATGCAGGAAATTTTGAGCTCAATTTAAAATGTAATGAATATCAATAGATTCATTAAAAATATATTCATAAGAATACAATCATATTCATCGTGTATATTCAAGAATATATGCACAAGGTAACTAACCCATCCAATAATTTGAATCTTTGACAAAATGACCATTCCTTAAAATAGTGTTAATAAGAATATGTTTGTTTTTATAGGGGAATTGGCATACTTCCTGCTATGGGCTTTTATCTACAAGCACACATGAGCCACAGGGGTTAGCCAGGGAGATTCATTTGGGCATGCACCAGTGCTGTCCCAGTATTTCAGATCTCACAGGCTCTGGTAACATCTCTCTATTGTGCTTATTTTACTCTTAACACAGAGATTTGGAACATATACAGAACTAACACGTCTTATTGCATGGGTCAACACATTTATTAGAAGTTTTGAATGCTCATGACTAGTAAGCATCCTTCTTTTTAATGGCAATCTTTTGTTCCAGTTTAAGATTTTATGATTTTTTTATAAGTATTTATTACATTAAGGGTGTTTCCTTCTAACATTAAAATCCTATATAATAAAAGGGTAATATGCAAATCAACCTAACAGCAGAATGACCGGTTTCTATGGTGCGCACTGACCACCAGGGGGTAGACGCTCAATGCAAGAGCTGCCCCTGGTGGTCAGTGCACTCCCATGGGGGAGTTATTCATATATGCATACAAGTTCTTTGGTTGATCACTTCTCACCTCCCACCTATGCTTCTATGTCTCTGGATCTATTTTGTTCATCAGTTTATTTTGTTCTTTAGATTCCACATATGAGTGAGATCACGTGATACTTGTCTTTCTCTGACTTCGTTTAGCATAATACTTGGATCCCTAATTTTTTATGTTGCTTTCCTGATTCCAGAGCTGAGCTACCAAATACTTTGGTAATCCTGCCACTGTTTTATACACACATCAGAACCTTCTATTAAAACAGACTAACCCTCAGGAGGCAAGCAGGGAAATGACCACTTGCATCCCTATTCCTTTGCATGTATTTCCCAGTGACAGACAGAGTAGGAGGTTGGGCAATGGCCGTTAGGGACAGGGTCATATTACAAACAAAGTAATTTTCCTCTGGCTTAAGAACAACAACAAAAAGCCCCTTTGAGTGTATTTCTAAATGTTAAGTGAGAAAGAAAAGTATAGTTTTACTTTTTTTTAAAAAGGGCTTTACAAAAAGAAAATCAATTTAAATGCACCTGCCTTTAATTGTGGTACCTTTGCAAATTTTGTGAAGACTGGAACATATAATCTATAAAATCTATAAACTATCATCTATAAACTATAAAATCTGTAAACTATAATCTTCTGTCTAAGCCCCATCCTGAGGATATCCAGAGACAGTAGCTAAAGCTTCTCTGCCACTTCCAAGCCTCAAATCACACCTACACCTCACCGCTAAAAAAAAATTCAAATCAGCCGGATAATGCTAGGTATTTTTAATCCAACGAGGCTCCCCAAGGTATCTATTTAGGCCATCAGTCTCCTATGAGAGGAATTGAGGCTGTCCCACAAAACGTGGTCTGTTAGTAGCCCTGGCAAAGGCCAGGCTTTGCTCTGCAGCCTTCAGGGCCCTTGGTCTCCAACTCCGTTCCACAGAGCAGGCATTAATGAAGTTACAGTTTCAACATAACACTGAGTGTTAACCTTTGCACTTTCCATTTGTGCATATAAATGAAGTAAAAATCCATCTGATGCAAATTTTTTTAGAATGAAAGAATATATTAAACTAGAGGCCTTGTTTAATATATTGAACAGTGCTTGAAATTCATGCACGGGGGGGGGGGGGGGGAGAGAAAGGGGAGCAGGTTGGGGGGATGTGGTGTGGTGGTGGTCCCTCAACCCAGCCTGCACCCTCTCCAAATCTGGGACATCCCTCTCACAATCCAGGACTGCTGGCTCCCAACTGTTTACCTGCTTGCCTTCCTGATTGCCCCTAACTGCTTCTGCCTGCCAGCCTGATCACTCCCTAACCACTCCCTTGCCAGCCTGATTGTCCCTAACTGCCCTCCCCTGCAGGTCTGGGTGCCCCCCAACTGCCCTTCCCTGCAGACCCAGTCACCCCCAACTTTCCTCCTCTGCCGGCCTGGTCACCCCTAACTGCCCTCTCCTGCAGGCTTGATCACCCCCAACTGCCCTCCCTTGCAGGTCTGGTCCCTCCCAACTGCCCTCCCCTGCAGGCCATCTTGTGGCAGCCATCTTGTATCTACATGGGGGCAGCCATCTTGTGTGTTGGAGTGATGGTCAATTTGCATATTACTCTTTTATTAGATAGGCTAGAGGCCTAGTGCACAGGTGGGGGCCAGCTGGTTTGCCCTCAAGGGTGTACCGGACCAAGGTCGGGGTTGCCTTGGGGCACGGGCAAGGGGCCGGTGGTGGTTTGCAGGCTGGCTACATCCCTTAGCAACCCAAGTGGAGGCCCTGGTATCTGGGATTTATCTTCTATAATTGAAACTTTGTAGCCTTGAGCAGAGGCCAGAGCTGCGAGGAGTTTGGCTTCCTCCATTGCCCAGGAAACCCAAGCCTCCTGCTCGCTCTGTGGCTGCAGCCATCTTGGTTGGGTTAACTTGCATACTTGTTCCTGATTGGCTGGTGGGCGTGGCTTGTGGTCATAGCAGAGGTGTGGTCAATTTGCATGTTTCTCTTTTATTAGTGTA